AAACATAGACCACCTTCCCAGCAACACACTCCTAGCCACCATGGACGTTACCAGCCTATACACCAACATCCCACACCAGGATGGCATCCATGCCTGCCTTACATATCTACAGGAACAAGATTACAACCCAGAATACAGACCCAAAGATATCACTGAGCTTATACACTTCATCCTCACACACAACAATTTCACTTTTAATAATCAACACTTCCTCCAGATGATGGGAACAGCTATGGGCACTAAAATGGCCCCACAGTATGCCAACCTTTTTATGAGCCACCTGGAAGAAGACTTCCTCAAGAACTGCACCATCAAACCCTTGCTGTACTTACGATATATCGATGACATCTTCATCATTTGGAGTGAGAACCTGGAATCTCTACTTGAGTTCCACCAGAAATTCAACAGTCACCATCCCTCCATCCGACTTTCTTTAGAATACTCCAACACCAACATCCCCTTTTTAGACACAAGGATCAGTATCCAGAAGGGTAAAATACAGACCACAGTATACAAGAAACCCACAGACCAACATACATATCTGCACAGAACCAGCAATCACCCGAAACACACCAAAAAAGCAGTGATATACAGCCAAGCCCTCAGATACCACCGCATCTGTACTGAAGAGAACACCCGGGATTGCCACCTCACCAATCTTAAAAAGGCTTTCACCCAGCAAGGACACTCCTCCAGAGAGGTAGATCGCACGTTTGAAAGAGCCACCTGGATACCACGTGAAGAACTGCTGCAGTACAGAAGAAAAACACCCACAAATCGCACACCGCTGGTTATGACCTATCACCCATCCCTTGAACCTGTACGGAAAATCCTCAAAAAATTGCAACCCATATTAGAAAAAGACCCTATTCTTAAAAAGATCTTCCCAGAGCCACCCATCCTAGCCTTCAGACAAGCACCGAACCTCGCCAACCTCATCACCAGAAGCAAACTTCCTCAACCCCAGAACACACCAAAAGGATCCAGACCGTGCCATGACAAGAAATGCAAAGCCTGCCCCCACATCTCCACCACCCCCACTATTACTACACCCCACAACAGAGCCATCAGCATCCCAGGATCTTCCAGCTGCACCTCCAGGAATGTAGTATACCTCATCCAATGCACCAAATGCCCTGATGGAAGATATGTAGGAGAGACCAGACAACAACTGCGCACCAGAATGAATGCACACCGGAAATCCATCAAAGACAGAAATACCCAATTACCGGTGGGGGCACATTTCTCACAGGAGGGCCACTCTCTCTCCAATCTCTCAGTCCTGATCCTCAAGGGAAATTTACACAACACATCCCAGAGACGAGCCTATGAGCTCCATTTCATCAACCTGCTGGATACTAGAGATCAGGGACTAAACATAGACATTGGATTTTTGATACATTATAATCTGCCTGGCAACTGACTCCCCAGCCCAGCCCAGCCTCTGGCTTCTTTACTTTTCATTCCATCCAGGAAGAGCACACACCAAATGCTGCAGCTTCCTGAGCCTGACGAAGGGTTTTTGAACCCGAAAGCTTGCTTAATAACTATTCTCCAACCATATGGGTTGGTCTAATAAAAGATATCAAATTCACCCAAGGAACCTTGTCTTGCTATACAAAGATATCTAACCTAGGTCTACGCAAGCTAGCTCACATACTGGAACCTCTATATGGTACAAGACAGTACCATGCAGAGAAAATCCTGTCAACTTGCCATGTCTGAGCTCCTGAAAAAGAAACGGTATCACTCAATTTGCTCAGGTATAATTCCTTAATGTTTTTTGAGCCATATACCACATTTTCTGGCATATGCAACACATGCATTCGAAACGTGTATGATAACTATGTTTCTGGTCCTAAGTTCTTACATTACACACAAAATGACCAAGGTTTTTTTTGTTTAGAATATATAGGTTGCATATGACTCCTGCATTTCCCATAGTTGAAGCCATGAAAATTTAAACACAAGATCAGAACATTGATTCATCTACTGTTTCCATAGAGGTAACTATGATACATTACAGAGAAAGTGGGGCAATAAAGACTATAGGAAATAATTATGTAATGGCCTGCCCATAAGGGATATTTCTTTCTAACATTCATCAGCTGGTGGCTGAATTATGCCTTAAGGCATGAGGATCTGCCTCCCTTTTGGAATGTCCCCCCATGATATTGTATTGTAAACGATGAATGGTCTCCTTATACATGAAAATACCCAATACTTTTTGCAATCATACTAGAACTTAGTGACTCAATGATATCTTGTCATAAAAGTTTCCTTATTTTTGATTCTTGCCATTGACCATCTCCTTATTCTTGATTATTTGAAGCTCTTTGGGAGAGATGACATATTTTTGCTTAACATATAATACCCAAAACCCATTCAATTTAGGGTTGAATAAACTCATAATCCTCATTATGTGGTCTCCTGTAGCTCTGCCAGTGTAATTGGGGAATCTTATTTCTAAGGTTAAAAAGAAGCACAAAACTGCAAACTCTTTTTGAAAGCCTGCATAATAATAATAAAAGTAAAGAAAGACATAAATGTCATTTATTTTTCTTTGCATGTCATATTAAAGAAAGTTAATAACAAAAATAAAACAACAAATTAACTGCTTTATTCTAAATTTCATATAATCATAACTTAGTTTAATTCAGATAAAAAAAACAAACATCAAAATAACATTGCCATAATTCAATAAAGAACAGTGAGGGCTCATAATACATTAACATCACAGGTAAATTGAAACAGTGTTCCCTTTGATTTTAGGCTTGAGTTCAGGAAAGAGAAATCCCAATGCTTCAAAATCATGCACCATGTATAATCTTTGCCAAGTTGGACAAAAATCTTTCAAGTATTTACTATTATTAATTATATTTGCAGCAAAAAGAAGAACTGAATACAAATCAAAACTAAAACCACAGCGTCAAATGGAAATCACGGAGCATCTGGAGCTCAATCTCCTTAAAATTTAAGAGTGCATATTCAGGTGTATATTTTAGCCATCTCCGATTACTAAAAATTACATTAATTAAATTTAAAAATGTTGAAAACAAAACTTACTCAGATACATGCTCAGCAGTTGGGCAACCTAGGGAAACTGGAATAAAAATAATTTATATTAATATACATCTTTAAAAAAAATCACAATACCTTAACATTTAATCTGGAATGTTACTGACCAACAGCAACTACTAATGTGGTTCATCTAAATCTTACATTAAGAAGGATACTCCATGTACTTACCATTCTCTATAATAACTTGGCAAGTGTGAGTATGGCTTTCACTCAAATGCGTGGCCATGTTATCTAAGCCAGAAACATCAGTTAGGAAATCACAATTAAGACATACTACAGTCACACCCCTGGAGAGGAAAAAGTAAAAAAGAGTGAATAGCTCAATGCTATTAAAGGTTCCCCTCCCATTTTCACAATAGTTCTGGCCTATGGAAACTTAGATAATACAAAGGGCCAGTGAATATAATTTTATATTCCTATACGATTATAGAATGGCCTTAAGCTCACAAAGATATTCTTCCTTTTTATTTGTACTGCAGTAGCACCTGGATATTCCCACCCACAAGTTGGTGAAAAAGAAAAGCAAATAGCTGTTCTTATATGCTGCTAAATCAGGGGCAGGCAATTATTTTGGGTGGAGAGCCGCTTACCGAGTTTTGGCAAGCTGTTGAGGGCTGCATGGGTAGCCCCACCCCTTGACAGGTGCCTTGCCCCTGGTCACCATTTTGGGACTGGAAATCCTGACCCTAACCTCTGACCTTTGCCACCGGAAGTCCCTCCCCTTGCCCCTGGAAGTACTCCTTTGGGGAAAAGGGTTTGCCATCTTAGGGAAAAAAAAAACAAATTACATACTAAAAATCAAACACCCATAATAATATATTTTAATTTAATTTTAAAAATATTTTTGTCCCGATTCGTGTGCGTTCATTCTGTATATGCAGTGACTGCATATGGGGTTTTGTGGGGATGGGTGGATGCATGTGTATGGGTACGCATGTGGGTATGGAAGCCATGTAGTGCAGAGTGGCCGGCCAGTGGGTGGACAGGGAAGTGGGGAAAATGGTAGGGGTGGGGGGTGCAAACAGGAGCACGGGGCCTGCACCAATGTCCTGGGGCCAGCGCTGGCAGGGCCCAGATTGGAGCAATAGGCGTGCGGGGTGTGGGCTGGCAGGGGTCTGTGGAGCTGGGCTGGGCTGCACCAACAGGAAGAGGGGGGAACTGACCCAGTTCCATACAGCCCCTTCTGGGTGGGACCCCATGCTCCTGCTGCCCTACTCTGGGCCCCACCAGCACTGGCCCTGGGACACTGGCGCAGGCTGTGCTCCCACTGGCTCCCGTGTGCCTTCTCAATCCCAGTGTCCCCACCCCAGCCCCATGGTAGAGGTGAGGACCAGCACGCAGCCCTGACCCCATGTGCCCCATCCTCGCCAGGATCAAACTG